TAAAATATTACTGCCATGGTTATTATTTTGTAAATAAATACATAAAAAACTATTAATCTCTTTATAATTTGCCTTCTAAATAACTCGAAAAATATTTAATAGGAGATAAATATAGCGAGATTCTTTTTTGTTAAATCACAGAACACTGGCGACGCTATTCATTGTGTTCTGGTTAATCACTCCAGTTAACCTAAAAGAGCTTCTGCTAGAACTATTTACGACAATAGTCGAATGACGAATTCGATCCCACGTCATTTAAGTTTCGTAGTCTGTCAACCATTATGCTAACGTCGTAATTACGTAATGTTATTACTAGCTACCCTACATTATCACAAAGAGTTATTTATAACGCAAACTTTAAACTGTTTGTTATAATCCATCAAGGATTTTACTATAAAACGTGGTCGACCACATGTATCTATTAAATTCCTGCACGTATGATCATTCCATCCAATGAAGGACTAACCTCCAGTCTGCTTCCGACTGAGATATGCCAAAGGAAATCCTCTCTTCTTCATCGGTTGTCGGCTTTTAGAGCTATATTGCCAGCCCATGACTACTTTACCTTGCTGAGTCGTTGTTAAATTTGCTAAATAATTAATTACACAAAGAAATTTCGAATGTAACTTTTTTAGAACTTGAACTTTACCAATGTTAATTATTTGTATAATCGGTGTGCTTACAAACTAGTTTAGTACTTAAAGTGCTGCTGCTAAGACCAAATTGATTAAGACGCAATTGGCAATGGGTTGGCCACTTTAATCGTAGAACCAAGAACCGATAAGGATGAAAGATTCTCAAGTAGCAACCACGTAGAGGTAAACGAAGTGAAAGGCGGCCATGAACTATATTGAGTATAGGGAGAGAGTATAGGCCACGAAATATATAACTGGCAGACTGACACGCGCACTGCTTGCACCCAATCCTTTCTGCCAAGATGGGTCGCCTCCGTTTACGGCTTAAAGATCTCTCGTCAGATCGTTAAGCCAATTCCAAAAGTAGGTATTTAGTGGGTACACGTCTCCACATAACCACACAACCGGCTGTGTGGTATGCTGTGAGCAGTTACCACCTCTCTTTTTTTTTTTTTGCGCCCGAAGCAATTAAAGGGCTACCCTATATGCATTACGCATACCACGATAGCCGGTCTATCGTGGTTATGAGGGGCTCACTGTCCTACCGGGGACCCTAAGTGATACCCTCTAAAAACCGCCTTTGGGGACAGGCAGCCGGCTGATCAAGCTGTATTGTGCCTTATCATGAGCGACCCTCTTTTGGGAAAAAGTGCCGCTGAGGGAGTGCCTACGAAGGCAAATTAATGTTAGTTTTTACAATAATTTAATTTAATTAGAGTTGGCCTGAGCCGCCAGGAGACAGTTCAGGTCGTTTGACAGTTTATTAGGCGGGGGTGGGGCTGCATAAGAAGCTGCCTCACGAATTAAATGGTTTGGGTGCGACTCTGAGGCTTTGAAGAAGTTCTCAGAGTTTTTTAAAAATTGTTGAATTGTTGGGAGCTCTAAGTCCCGATGAAGGTCGGCATTACGGACGTACCAAGGTGCGTTCGCAGCTCGACGACAGAAGAGGTTCTGAACTATTTTGAGTTCATTTAAAATATTAGGGTTTGCGTGGGCAAAGACGGGGCCCGCGTAGGACATGACTGGTCGTATACAGACCATGTAAAGGGTACGCTTGTTTCGAAGGGACATTTTACTGTGTCGGCCCAACATACTGTTGAGCCTACTCAGATAAAATCGTGCGTGACGGGTTACTATTTTGACGTGGGGCTTGAAAGTGAGCCCTGTGTCTAGAGTGACACCTAAATATTTGGCGGACGTATGCCAGGGGACAGGGGTCCCTAGCATACGTATTGGTGGAGTGTTTTTGAGACGGCGTCGTTTATAATCGAAGTGAACGGCGGAGCTCTTCTCCGGGTTCACATCGATGCGCCATTTTTTGAACCAAGCTCCCTAGGTCATCAACTGACTTTTGGATCTTGTTCCGTATGAAGGGTAGTGAGACACCTTTGCAGTAGATGGCAGTGTCGTCTGCGAAGAGGGAGAGTTGAACACCTTTCGACGGGATGGGAATGTCGTTGGTGAACAGGATGTACAGCAGAGGAGCAATTACTGAGCCCTGAGGGACACCAGCCTTGATAGTTCGCTGTGAAGAAAGCGTGCCTTCGTGTCTAAAACGAAAGGTACGATGTTTTAAATAGGAGGCCACGAGACGAACTAGACGATCGGGGGTCCCCCGTTACCGGAGGGTTGCTCTTATTTGCTTCGGGCGCAAAAAAAAAAAACGCGCACTGCCTCACTATCGTATTTGAGTAAGCTTTGTTGTTGATTTAAGTAGTTAAGAACGCTAAAATATGGGCCACAAATAATTTAGAATAATATTTATATTTTATATTTATATATATATAATATTATTATATATAATAGAATAATACATAAATAATTTAATATAATAATAATTTGGAATAATTCAATTTTGTATGTGTATTTTTAACATAGACCTTGTAAGACATGCAGGAATTCGATAGATAAAGCTAGCCCGTGACCGTTGTGGCATTCTTTGGAAAAGGCTTATGTTCTGGAGTAAACTTGTGGAGGGTTTTAATAATGTTTAATGAGCATAGGTAATTAACAACCCAATCGCCTGCTGACATAACTGTTAAGTGACAAAACTGCTAAGTCGGCGCAGTCAGTCAGCGACTTGCCAAGAGGTTTGAGCGCCGTGCCTCGGTGAGTTGAGGGTGCAAAAGCCCACATCACATAGATTTTCAAACAGATCAGGATCAGATTTTACGAAAATAGATGCTTAAGCTGGATAAAGCTGCAACTGTTTCTGATTTTGAGTCTATACACAGCTCGAATGCATCGTTTTTGTGCCTTAAACACTTTACCATTTTGAGTTAAGTTTCGCCAAAGGATTATCCCATATCGTAGGTTTGATTCAGCTACGCCATGATACGCGATTACTATATCATCATTATTTAGTACCGGGCATGTCTAGTTAAATTATGGTAGTAACATGAATGTGTCGCTTCGGTCAAAAAAATATCATGATATTTCTTTGACCGAAGCGACACATTCATGTTCCTACAGAATTCCAGCGTAAAATAGCAGCTTAATGCTGCTGTGTTTCGTATGGTGAGTGTAGCCATTTTATATTAGCCCGCAGGTGTAACAATGTCCACTCTTGACCCTTGATCTTTTGTCACCCTTGTTAAAGAATAACAACCCCATTACAAATGTTAAAAAAATTCCCGCTTGTTACAAAAAATATTAGTTCAATTCCGAGTAACGCACGTCTGCAATATCAGTAAAAGGCAAAATAAGCGTCTGCACAAGCGTGAGCTTTATTTTACTAGAAAAAAAAAAAGGTTTTTTTAGATAATAAATAAATTGGAAGGTTTCACTCAAAAACTTCACTGTATCTTTCAGTGATATGAGTTTATATATTGATTACTAAATTTTGGTCTTCATGACCAAAGTTTTACAGAGTTTGAGGACCGTATGCATAAAGAGCTTGCCAAGCCCACACGGAGTGGCCACAACAGGCCAGCCTTTCGCCTTGGACCAGCCATGTGAAAAAAAAAATAAGTTGAAATAAAGAGTTCATCATAAAGTGTCCCTACTTTTTAATTAAGGGTTCTGATGTCCTACCCGAATTTCCGTAACTTCAGCTTGTCGTTCTCTCTTGTACCTAGATTAGTATGAAGTCTCCACTAATACTAATACTGTATACTACTTATATTGTAGTATAATATGTCTCCACTAATACTGTATAATAGCTTTTAGAGGAATGCATAGCTCTAGAAATATCGTCATACATTTCCTCCAACTCTGAGATTAGTGCGTAAACCTGTACTTATAGCCTGCAATAACTACCGGATGGTAATTCTGAGTTTTATCTCGAATTGCCTGAGACTGTGCTATACCATTCTACCTAGAATTACATATAATCAAAAATATTACAAAAATATTCTCGATAAGTAATCTGTTAATTTGGCGCAGTCGAAAAAAAGTAAGCGTGAAATAGGTTTCTTGAATATTTATTCCCACGTCATTCACCGTATTAAATAAACGAGGATAAGACGGGTACTTTATTATGTTTCACTTTTATTGCAGAAGAACACGCAAAGTTAATAAACAAGGTAAATTATTTTAAATATAACAAGAATAGGCCATTATTCTCGATGTAGGTCATCTTTCAAGTGACCGCAGCTTTTATTTCTTCGTAACGTATACCTAAAAGATCTACTTATTCAAAATATTTTGGCGCAATGTATATTCATTTAAGATTTTTTTGAACTCAAAAGACTTTTTGCGCATTTGTAATTATAAAATAGAAATGGTTTTTATTTTTAAATAAGGTTCATCTACAGTTGTAACTTTGTTTTACAAGACATTATTTACGACAGTTATATCTATAATATGCTATATAATGTATTAATTACCACAAGACAAACACAGCATGCACAATTTTAGTTAGGTTAAAGTAATATTTAAGTACATACATTAAACATTTTAAAACCTAAAAATAAATATTTGGTCTCTATATACATACACTATGAATATGTACTACCGATGTCACCGGCGTATCTCTCAATAATGAGCTGTCTTTTGTTTATCTGTTTAATTTTTGCTGGTGAAAAAAAAGAAGGGCAGGTGAAAAGGAGAAAAATGGCCTTAAAGGCAAACAGTTCAATACAGTACCATACATACACTGTCGTTTTGCAGCTGCGTCAGTTGTGTGCGACTAATTACGCCGTACGTCTTTCTAAACTTTTGCTACTCAGGTGCCTTGCCTTCAAAGCGTTCGACGCCTACCAAAAGCTATCCAACACCTACCTTTTGAGCATTTACCGAAGAGAAGGATAACGGACGCTACAGAAGAGCATATGATTGTCATTCACCTAGAAGACCCCGTAACGCATTCAGCTGAGGCCTTATCCTCAAGTTTTTAAGCAAATATATATTTAATTTTGTTTTCAGTAACAAACAACCGCATTCGATACGAGATAACTCCATCCACGAGTAAGATCAAGCCAACAACTTCAATGCGAGATTTAGAACCTACTTTTGTGGGTCCCATAGAGAATGTCACCGGCGCACTTGGAAGGGAAGCAGTACTTACGTGCTCTGTTTCTGATCTGGGAGATTATAAGGTATCAATGTTTTTTACTATAGTTATACCATATAGATATTAAGTTAAATATAGGAAATTACAGAATATAAATTGAAAATCGAAACAGTCACAATATTTTGTTGGCTTCAGAGATTTAGTATAAACTGAGTGTATATTACATCTATGGTTGACTTGAACTGCTAACCTTTAGACAGTTCTAATACCAGTTGAAGTCAAACTTTGTGAAACAAATTATTAGTACGATGATTATATTAATGAGCGGTATAGTTTACAGTGCATTTCTGCCAGGTAGCAGCAATGCTTTCACTGTTGTGTTCTGGTTTGAACTGAAAAGAAGCCGTTATAATATGTAGACACATATTAAAAACAAAGACACATTTTATATTAAAATAATTTATGCAAAATATAGTAAATATTTTGCATTAATGTTTTTAATGTCTGCTATTTAGCACTAGGAGCCGTGGTGTAATAATAATAATGCCCTGTAGATCGGCGGCCAGTCTCAACGGAGCCTAGCCATCTGCGCTGGACAGAATTATAATGCTTAAGTATATGCTCAAGCACAGGTACACTCTCTATTCCCTCACTCTCATAGTTATTATGAGATGGTAAACTACGCGACTGGAGGGAGATCAGGCGCAGGACCTTAAGATTTACGTGATTATAGTGGCGTAGTAAGCAGATACTGAGTCCATTCAGGCTTCTGTGTCAGCAAGTACACGAAAGTTATCGCTATGGTCATAAACCGACATTATAGGTATCATAAATTATTTGTGTAAACGCGCGTTTCCTTGTAAGCTCTGTTATATGTTTCCATAAAAAAATACTAGGCATTTTTGAGGCAGTTCTCGACAGTAATATAAAACTCTCAAAGATGGTAAGATGACCTTTCGGCGAAGGAGAATATACGGGAAGGTACAACCTATTACCAATTTATAACGCCGCCAAGTAGCAGTGCCTGCACTGTTGTGGTCTTGCTAGTAGGGTATAAACAGTGTACATAGACAGTATGTACGTGGTACAGTATGTACGGAGTAGCGCGGCGAACATTTTCTTGCCCTAAAACCCTCTCAGCAATGATTGAAAGGTACAACCTATTACCTATTTATTACGCCGCCAAGTAGCAGTGCCTGCACTGTTGTGGTCTTGCTAGTAGGGTATAAACAGTGTACATAGACAGTATGTACGTGGTACAGTATGTACGGAGTAGCGCGGCGAACATTTTCTTGCCCTAAAACCCTCTCAGCAATGATTGAAAGGTACAACCTATTACCTATTTATTACGCCGCCAAGTAGCAGTGCCTGCACTGTTGTGGTCTTGCTAGTAGGGTATAAACAGTGTACATAGACAGTATGTACGTGGTACAGTATGTACGGGGTAGCGCAGCGAATATTTTCTTGCCCTAAAACCCTCTCAGCAATGATTGAAAGCCTGTTCCCAGCAGTGGGCTCTATATAGGCTGTAACTTTAACTAATTAATAAAATTAAATCTCAAACCGAGCAAACAACTGTAAGACTTCAAGATACTATAATTTCATACTGCGTAGATCGGACCAAAAATAATTTTAATCTGAAGTTAGCCATGGTCAACTATGATATTCGGATGTCGAAGAGTACTCGAAACCTCGGGAATATAAAAAAAGTCAATAAACGCGATAAAATACGTATAAATCAGTTTTATTTAACTGCTCAGTCCTACTTCCCGCGATATTTTATACTTAGCCTTTGAACGAGAAAAGAACCAGCCCTCTTGTCATCAGCGGCGACGACAATTCGCAGATACAGTAACCTAAAATACCTACTACCTTAAAAAAATTTCAAGCATGGAGACGAATATAAATTGCAAGCTGTGTATGCATTGCTGTTTGTAGGGATAAAAATTTTTATGCCTTCTTTTGTTTGTAATCGCGATCACTATTACCGTTACAATCTACCAAATGTCCACTGCTAATGGGGTAATGGATATTCTTACACCGCTACCACCTGTTCATACTTAATTACCCGATATCAATAATAAGTGCTTTTTTGAAGTATAAGGGTGACAGGCGAGCACACAGTCCACCTGTGGTAAGTGGATGCTGTGGCCCATAGATATCTACATTTATCCTCGATTGAAAATAAAAACGCGGGTACGTTGTGACCATAAAATACTAAGATGGAATGACTCGTTTCCGGAAAAAATCATCTCCGGTTCTCTACACTTACCATATGAAATACAGAAACAACCCCTACAACCGTCATATAGCTGCAGCATGGCTCTACCACGTATAGAATCTTGTCATTGAAAGTAATTTGTTCCAGTCAAACTTGCTCAGCGAGGTGTGAAGACAAAAATGCTCTGAGCTTCTCTTTTTTATATAAAATTGATGTGACAGGGGACAACTTTTCTAGTGACTGACTCACTTATCACGCACGCAAACACGTACGCACGGAAATGCGTATACTTTTCATGCAAACTTTTCATTTATATAAAAGGAATATAGTTGTTTTGTTGAATTTGTAATAATTTTCGAAAATAACACAAATCATCAACAGGAAATATCACATAAATGATCAAACAAATTTCCGCAATCTCAGAAAACATTTCCGTCCTGCTCTCTTGTCGAGCAGTTGACCTTATTAGCATTTCATTGAGGCGTTTTCCTTTAATTATTTTGTTCTTGCTCGCTTTGGTATTTGAAATTCAGTAAGCAGGCCGGTGTTTCCTAATATTGAAGTTTTTTTTTTAAAAATCGTTGCATTTGCAATTCTAAATTTATCGTTCTTAATATTTATTCAAATTGAATAATATTGAACAGTGAATTATTCTGGACTACTTTTGTGAAAACATAATATAATCATAAAAAAATACAATCTTATATAAAGCTAAAGCTTTAAGAAGATATATAAATCGGACCATAAACAATAATTAAAAAAGCTGTAGGTACTCCGGGTTTAACAATGACAAAGGGACGTCAGTCACCTCACTACCCCGTGACCATGGGTGCTGGAAAGCACCCGAAACGTCGGGAATTAAAAATAAAAATAATGAAAAGTATAATTAAACGCGATAAAATCCGTAAAAGAAGTTTTAATCAGTGTGTAGTGTTCGCGTAAATATAAGAAATCATTAAGACTATTGTGTTTTGATAACAAGAAAAAACCTACCAAGCGAATGTCGGTAGAGTGAAAATCACAATTATTTCAATATATATTACTCTAAATTATTTATGTAAAAAGATTTAAATATAAAATTCCTATCCATCAAAAGCTTTCATTACAATTTAATAATCAAACACTATCTAAAACACTAATAAAACACTAGAAAAATCCAAAAATCAACACAATAACATTCACGCGAAAATGGCGTACGTAATAAACGTGGATTATAATAAATATACATAGGATAACCGTTTTTTTATTATTATTAATTAAAAATAAAAATAATTAAAATTAAACGCGATAAAATCCATAAAAGTAATTTTAATCAAAGCTAAGTCTATCAAAATATTGTCATCACAATCGTTTTCATAATTTTCTTGCCATATAATATTAATTATCTCTTTTTACCCTCAAGTGTATTAAACTTAACATTTTAATAAGAATGTAATATTATTTAACCGTGTAGTGGTGATGTAAGAATATCTACAACCCCTTATCGTCCATTGCGTTTTGTTGTTAAGATGTGACCGCGAAAATCTGAAACAGAAAACGGGCAGAAGCATCTTTCTCATAAAAAACTGAAGTTGCCAACCATCCTGCGAAGCGAAAATTCCCTCTTTGAGGTAATCTGACTGTGAGGCCTTTGCTCAGCAGTGAAATGTTATTACGTAGGTTATAACGGTAATGGTAATGGATGGATGGATGATACCATTCAAATAAAATTAATTACAAGGGACTGTGAGATATAAATATTTTGAAAAAAAGTCGAGAAGCCATTTCAAAGTAAGTTAAAATCATCACATTTTATCAAGTAATATAATTTTGTTGTAATCAAGTAAACATAAAAAATAACATCCCAATATGATGATAAACGATTAAGTTTTTTGTATATTTCCTTATTTTTCTTCTACACCCATTTTATTTTATCTCTGCAGCAACCAAGTCTTAACTGGTTTAGAATACATGTCTCAGACATTTAGTTCGTCATTTTATGTATTTAAAGTTAACTAAATAAATAAAATTGATGGATGTGCTTCTTACATAAATATTGCCATAAGTTTGTTGGTTAGACCAAAGTCAGGTGTCCTTTATTCGAAGTGAGCTTTAAGATATAGATTATAGTAGGTGGTTTATCTGATTATCCTGATATCGGATATATTCTTTAAGTAGATCTTCATTATCCATCTGACATTCATGACGAGCACTCTCATTTACAAGATTTACCTGAAAATTTGTTCCTTTTGGAAGTAAGGTTACTAAATTAACTGCTAATCTTTATGATAAGTATAAGTATGCTGTGCATTATATTCATTTATCCCTCAATCCCAATAAAAAGCCCATGCAGTCGCATGCGCCCGGCAAATCCTGAACGGTTTCATGCGACCGCACTCACCCTCAGCACTTAAAACCATTAAAACTGATATTTAGACTACTTTTCTATGAAGGAGTTGGGCATTATAAAATGTATATATATAAAAAATCTCCATATAAAAGTCAGGTTTTACTTCATTACAAAAAGACTATTGTATTTTGATAATAAAAACATAGCATACCAAGCAAATGGCGGCAGCGTATAAATCACAATTATTTCAATATGTATTACTCGAAATCATTTACATAAAAAGATAAATTATATTCACACAAAAACTTTTATTACAATTTTATAATAAAACACTATACTAAAACACTAATAAAACACGAGAAAATGGCGTACGAAATGAACGTAGATTATAAATACATACCATAAGATAACTTGACTTTTTATTACACTAGTGGATAGAAAATTTTATATTGATTCTATAGTGCCAAACTTCTTCATAGAAAAGTAGTCTCTAAATATAACGTTTACTGGTTTAAAGTGTCGTGGGTGTGCGCGGTCGAATCCGACCGCTTGAATTTTGACGGAATAGCGCCGCGGTTGAATTTAGCCGCTTGGGGTGCCAAGAGGTTAAAATAATGTCTTAAAATTAATTAAAGATACTGAAAATACATAGAATCTTTTCATCAAAGCAATTTTTTAGAGCCTTACTTTTCACTAAATACAGCTCTCAGGTAAAAAACTACCTGTGATTTCGATAGTAACTTCCTCTAAAAACAAAATAATAAATTTTTTGGCAAAACCATTGAAAATAAAGTAAAACAAGTTGATGTTAAGCTAGCCAATCTCTGGAGAGATAAATAAAATGAAATAAACAGAATATTTGGAGCTGAAATATACATATTATGTGCTCCAAACTTTAAATATTTATCGATGAATTCGGAATCTCTTGTTGCTATTCAAATGCAGCAAACAAAAATAATTCTCAATCGACCAATTTACTAACGTTTTACAATCATTCTAAAAATTGCTAAAAATCATTTGTAGCTAGTAACTTCCATAGTGATAATGTATATAGTATACCGAAAGCGAATGCAAAAATACCTGGATTTTATATAGGTGAAATGGGTGGTAATACAATTAAAGAGTTTGTAGGTTTGAGGGCAAAAATGTATTATATAAAGTCCAAAGTTGCTTCAATAAAAGGATATATTAATAGTCAATTACTAAAAAACTCGATATAGAAAAACAAAAAAAGCCTTATTTTGCGATGAAGATTTGATGGACTATGTGTATTATTTAATCAAAAATTATAAATTTTCACTCAGAAAGTCAACAAATTAGTACTCAGTAATAAAGATGACAAAAGACAACTAGCACAAAAGAAAGCTTGCCGTAAGTTTAATACATTACTGAGTTTTAATATTAAAAATAAAATGATATACGAAATTATTTTGTTTTAAATGGATAAATGTTTTAGTATATTAGGATTGCCAACCGTCCTGTTTTCCCAGGACATGTCCTAGTTTTTGCAGTGTCCTGAGATGTTCTGGATAGTTTTTAAACGGCGTCCTGGGATTTTAAAGTGCCCTGATGGGGTCATGTCTAATATTAAGTTTGTCTTGTTTATCTAGTGGATAATAGATGGCGCCACTATTTTTTTAAGATGCACTATGGTTGCGGTATTGTAAAGTTGCTAAGTCAATAAGAAATAATTTCTTAAAAGAAAAGTGATCTTACACGCTGTATACTATTCAGTATTAAGGTTTATTATTAAACAGTGTAGTGATAGAGATGGGCTTAAACATTAAAAAATAATAACACTGCTAAATGCTAATGCTAAAAATAACTGTCAAAATTAGCAGTTATTTTTAGCAACTGTTAAATTTAGTTCAGACAGATTCTCATTTCCTTCATACTTTTCACATGAGAATCAATTTATTTACAATTTCTTTTTTTTCATATCTGTTTTTTTAGTATTCGTTATTTTTATATAATAATCTTTTTTTCTTTTTTTTTCTTATATCTACTTATCACTTAGTAACATAACATATCTTTATATTTTTTATTTGCATTTAAAAATGATAATTGTTTGACTTTTCGGACTCCAAAGCGAGTTCTTCGTTGTGAAATTATGTAACGAGTTCGCGAAAAAAGTCTTTCGCAAGAAACAGACGTACAAAGTACATTACATTTGTTTCGAACCAACTTAGCCAAATGTGGAAAAATGCCTTGGTTCTGCTTCCACCAGCTCAACGGGAAATTATTGCGACTAATCACTTTTTCATTCAAATATTTGTCTATTTATAATATTGCTCGTGCAGTTGGTGACTCAATTGTTTGCGGTACAGCCTCCCTAGCATCCCAGTCGTAAAATATTGAGGTGGGATCAAGCGAACTTTTGCTAACGTCAATATTTTCTCCTTCTCGATTTATTTCTTGAGCGACAAGTTTGATCATGTTCTCCCTAAAAGTTGCTTACTTTGAAGATGTAAAGGGCTGTAACTTAAATCAGGGATCCAAAAGTAGCTACCAATCGTGTTACTATTTCCTATATTTTCGAAACGACTATGAGTTAAATCTAACAAAGCTCGAACAAAATCATATGTTATTGGCAGATAAGAATCCGAGCTTAAAATATCGCAGAGAACTCTTTTTATGCCTTTTATGATTATTAATAGTTGACTGGCCGTCAAATACTTTTCACCACTCAGATAAATTGATGCTTCTTCAAAACATTTCAGGCCTTTACAAGTTTCGATGCAAAGTAACCAGTCTTCCGGCATTGAATTTGGTAAGCTTGTAACACCCAAAATGGCAATGGATGACTTGACGGCATCTTGAATTTCCACGATCCTTTCGAGCATGTATAATTTGGAATTCCACCTCGTCGGGACTTCTTGAAGCAGTCGTTTTGGCTGTGTTGTTCCATTTTGCTTTTAAAACTCATCAAGTTTTTGAGTGGATTTAGTGCTTCGCTTGAAATAAGCGACGATGAGCTTCACACGTTCAATCACAGATTTGATGGGTACAGATTTTTCCGTCGCTTCTTGCACTATCAAATTTATTGTGTGTGCTGCACATCCGAAATGTTTCCACACTAGCTCCTGTGATATGGCATTCTTGATGTAAGCCGCGTTATCAGAAACAGCTAAATTGATTTTAGCTGAAATACCCCAGGAATCGGTAATATTTTTTACTGAGATGCTGTATTTTCACTATTGGAAGAACCCGAAATTACTTTCACACTTAGTTCGTGTTGCAGAAAATTGTATTTATCATCCTTAGTTTTTGCCCTAAAAATATTACACGTTAAAAAATGGTGTATCTTTTAAAAATAATAACTGGTTGTTAAAAAAGTTTTTATTTTACTTTAAATTGCCTTTTTTCTTTAAATAATTATCTTAAACATATCAAAAATAAATCTTATTGTTATTTTTCAAATATATAAATTTCATAATTGCCACAATGTCACTCAGATATACAGCACCTAAATTACACTCATAAAAGGGCTATACCGCCATCTATGGAAGTCCTCGAAATTTTCTAACGTTTCTCTATTTCGACCTTTACGATACCTATGAAAAAGATGTCAAAACCGAATAAACATCATGATCATCATAACCCACAAGTAACCTACTGATTATAGGCCTATCCCTAGTAATAGTTCTTTAGCTTACTATTCATTGGTCAATGTTGGCTACACTGGTTCTGGTACGGATACCACAATTGCAGATTATATCACACAGAGAAAATCCGAGCTCTCCATAGTTCGTGATATGATCATGAATATTATCACTTGAGTTAGTAATATTCAATATACGCAGAATAATTCCTAATCGTTGTTTCACACATATTTGTATAGAGAATAAATTGTTAAATATAATGCTTAAGGATAATTAATTTTATCAAGTTCATAAAAATAATAATATATTTTTAATCTATATATTTACCCTCTTCGTTATTAAAATTAATGGTGTTAAAAAGCTAAGATCCTTGTAATAAAATAAAATGATGTGTCCTAATAAGTTTGAAGAGCACCTCCCGTCCTACCTCAATCGCGTGCACTATCCTTATCAGTACTAATCCCAACGCCACTCCTCCCAACACAACAGCACTGTCAGAAGCTGTTTTGGCTTGCCGCTTACTTCGCGGTCAGCCACCGTAGGGTCTACTTAACCTAAGGATACCTCGTTTAGCGGTGAAACAGGCTTTTTATTATTGACTGTGGTGAGTCTTTCGTGGTGTAGTGGTGTTGGGAGTAGTGGTGCTGGGATTAGTGGTGATACTGCACTCAATTGACGGAGGTCTAGAGGTGCTCTTCAAACTAGGTAAGACAAATCATTTAATTTTGTTATGAAGATCTTAATTAATTTTTAACATTTTTATATAACGGATTTCCGCAAAGTAAAACCTGATTATAATAAACACTGTTATTAAAATGATTACACAGGTCGCCTGGATTCGCGCAGATGACCAGACAATCCTTACTCTTCACACGCGACTTGTCACACACAGTCCTCGTTACGCCGTAACGAACGACTCTCCTGATTCTTGGCAACTTCACATTCGGCCCCTTAAAGTTGCGGATAGGGGTTGTTATATGTGCCAAATAAACACAAGCACAATGAAAAAGGAAATCGGTTGCATTGACGTTTTAGGTAAGCAATAGGCATTATTTATTTTTCGTATTATATTGCAAATGAAATAAGTTATTTTATATAAAATAACATACAACCTGACAAATTACAAATTGTTTTTAATTGTGTGTAGATGTATGTTTGGAGGGTATTACACTCAGAAATTAATCAAACCGGCATTATGAGTCTAGTCAAATCTTTAAATGAATGCTTACCAGCTGGCTTATTCTGTTAAAGGCCTATGTGCCTATGAGCAGGTCTAACAATATACTTAATAGGCCTTTTTCAAAAATATGAAGAATACCTACACGTATGATTAACAAATTTTTAAAATTTTTTTGGATAAACGACTTTCTTACTAAACGATAAACATCATGTTTACTAAATGTTAATCGGGTATTAGCACACTATAAATTGCAATTCATGGTATACGTGGTAGAGCCATGCCGTAGTTATATTAGTAGTATAGTTGCAGCACGAATGGGTCGGCTTGACCGGAAAAGGACCACGCTCTCACAGAATACTGGCGTCAAATAGTAGCTTAATGCTGCTGTGTTTCGTATGGTGAGTGTAGAGAACCGGAGACCCTTTTTACTGGAAACAAGGCATTCCATCTTAGTCCTCACGGGTGACAACGCATCTGCATTTTGAGTCGTAATCGAAGATAGATGTAGATGTCTATGGACCACAGCAACCACTTACCGTCAGGTGGACTGTGTGCTCGTTTGCCACACTATCCTATAAAAAAAAATGTACTAAATGCACTAAAAGTTTACGGATTTAAAAATACAACTGATGATGTCGTTAAAATGTAATTACGTTTTTCGGCAAATGTAAATACTATTGTTAAAGTAGAGAGTAGATAAGAGCTCGATTTAACGAGGCCAAATTCGATCTTCATGAGCATCAACATTTTAGTATGTATTTACAGGTGAAGAAAAATATCGTAAAGGAACCTGCATATCTGACATATAAAAATATTTCGTGGGTATATAAAATTTACCACCACGTACTATAGGAGATTATTCGGCGCAATTTTCCCCACTTTAAAAATATAGTATTCTGTGATGTTAATGCTGTTAGTTCGGTAAATATATTCTGTGATGTTAATGTCATTTGGTTCTCACAGTATCATCTGTATACAGCGTCATCTGACTTAGAGTAGGTCTGTACACAACAGTGCGACTTACATAGGTTATTACATTTTTACTCGTATGGTAGATATTTTATTTTTTAAAGATAATAGTAAAAAATTAGTTCATTTTATCCCCATTTCATTTTAAAATTATTAAAATTTTTATATAACTTTTAATTTTTTTAACTTGTGAATAATTTAGAAACAATAGTACTGGTATGATAGACTTGTAAGATACTATATAAATGCATAAATAAGTCTACACCACGTAAATAAGTTTACACCAAATGTAAGTTTAAACAAGTAATCAAATCATTGAAATAACCGAAATATTTTTAATAAATCACAGGATGTTTCGTAAATTCAATTTATGGAAATAATAATTGCTGCCGCCCACTGCCTTATAATAAACCAGTACTTTGAACTGTTTATAAACCTCGACATAATGAGGGAATTTAATTTTCGCCATTTTGGCGCTGATAGCAGAAGATAGCTGATCAAAGACATGGAACTAGTAATAGTGATAAGACAGTGTGACAAAACATATCGATAATAATTATGTTATGAAATAACAGGCCTACCATATTCTAGCATTTATAGTATAATTTTAATCGATAATGTTTAATAAAATCAATTAACATATCATATAAAACAAAAATTGACGCTGTGTTGCTACGTTTTTCTTCGTTTCTATAGAACTTGTATGGTTCATTCGATAGGTTTAAAAAGGTCTAATGACTAGGAAAAACTGGAGTAGGTAACTATAAAATAAAGAAAAAAATTATTGTTAACCATTCATCTAGTCCTCGTAATAGAATAATATTTCAACAATATTTATAAGTACAATTAGAATTTTACAAATTTTAAATTATAATACCATACAACAAATAATTGACGTCATAGTCAAACCAATTCTCAAGTTTTAGGCTTTTGAATCATAGTTTTATTACAGAATCAGTTCAAAACCTGTAAATTAATAACTATTTGTTAATTTTATGTAGTCAGCGGCTTTTATTGTTGTGAACAGATGTAATTAGAAAAATAAATCAATAAGTAGGTATTATCGACAAGGAACTCGTCAACCCTATTGAATTTTATTGTTTAACAAAAATAGGTAAGTTAAACATGTTAGTTATTACATTTAATAAGTGACAGGTTTTTAGGAGCTTATCAAATCGTTTAAATTTTTTAACATAAACTCTAACCCTCAACACTGTGGAAGGTTACCAAACTTTACTTCTGGTAACTAATTTTACATTACTATTGTCACAAAAATATTACAATATTTTTATTTTTATTTCTAACATGAAACGTAACTAAACTAAACTCTTACTAAAACTTAAAATACTCTTAGATGTTTTGAACAAAACAACGGCCATTTGGAAATTATGCCAAATTTGGTCTCCGTTACATCGGTACACTCAATGGAGTCGCTTCAAATCGGCACAAACGTTTTGTAGGGCATAACAAGTACAGCGTACTAGTGTATATGGAGGACATTACTGCCGTGGCATAATTACGGAACGACGTAATAAAAAAAAACACCTCTTTTGTAAAAATATGTCTCTAATTTGTATAAAAATTAAAACAATAAAATAAATTAAGTAGTGACAATTTGTAAAAATAAAGCTAAACAGTAAGTTGTCAATTACATACAAATGTTTAGATATAACATGTAGTTTCTCCTACACTCCTTAATAATATTAAATATTTGTATACTGTTTGAACAGTTCCACCAAATATAATGGATGAAGGTACTAGTGGTGATGTGATAATACAGGAAGGCTTGGACGCTATCATCACTTGCAAAGCGGATGGTCGACCTGAGCCTCGAATACTTTGGAGAAGGGAAGATGGATCTAATATACAACTACGCAACGAAGCCGGAAATCTTAGCAAAGGTAGGTAAAATCAAAACACTTATACATATATGCTTCGTTTCGTATTTGTTTGCATAGAGAAAACAGTTCAATATACTATGGACTGAAATTATTTTAATACAAAAGTTAATGTAACTCGATGTATTTTTTGTGTGTTACCTCAGATTTTTTTCAGATGAACCGATATGATGACTCTTTTTTATTTGAAAGCTGATGTTTTACATATAAATTTGATCAAGATTAGACTCGTAGCTTTTGAGTTATTCTATAATGTGTATTTACAACTCGGTTAAGTTTGAATCTCACTGCAATACGAGACCCCTTCGATTCCCACTCTCAACTTCGCGTTCATAATAGAGTCACGTCAGTACGGTTTGCATAATAGATAATATACTACATATAAAGGGCAAGGCATCTTTGCTATCGTTACGCACGTTTTAATTTTCGTCTCCTATTTGTTTAGTTATTGAGTTAATTTTGTTGGTACGTCACCTACACCAAGTGCAAGCTTAGCTAAACGAGTAGTGATTTACTTCAACTACGTTGATTATGTTCTCATTTCATTTATATTGATATGGTTGTACACAATTTTTAATTTTACTACTTGTTATTTATTTTTTATTTCTTGGCATCATTCCATCATTTCATCATTGGTTGGGTAATAAGTATTAAATATATAGATATAGACGTGTAGCCTTTATTTAATGGCATGAGCGTGGAAAAATGCAGTTCAGTTTCCTTGGTATATAAGTTCTTTGCTACATTTAAATTGGAAACGTCCTGGAAAAGGACGAAAGTGAATTGTTAGAACTTTTAGAAACCGACACATGACAGGCATAGATTTAGTTTATCCATAGACCAAAGTATGAAAAATTTCGCGAGAATTAGGAATTACTAACTGCTCAGCCATGTAATGTAAATTTAGTTTTATTTTGTGCTTTTCCACCTAAGAGTTGCGATTATCTGGTGATTAGCCATGATATTTCAACAAAAAGAAAAAATTTGCTCCAACTCAAATAATCTTATGTGTTCAACAGTAGTGCAAAGATAGTTTCCCTGATTTCATCTGCTTGAAAGAATGTCCACCCCATGCCCGATGTGTATACCATGTATTACAATTATTGCCTGTTTCATAAACAAGTACCGGTACGAGCGCGTCAATAGGTGTTGACGAGACAAATGGTTTTTTTATACTAGAGTAGAATAAAAAGCCTAAAGGTAAAGCTTTTTTATCCTACTCCCGGATAAGATCAGCTTTGTAAAAAAAAAACAGATGCAGATACATAGAGACACCCACGTTAAAAGTTGTTGTTGAATACTAATTGAGGTTTCTACAAAAAATAAGGTGCATTGTTTGATTATTTATTTATTTATTTTATTAGCTAATAAAATAATTTATAAAATCACTTGTCAACGTTATTTTGAGCCACATTGTAAACTGCAGCAGATTGTATAAATTAATCGAAAAATAAATTAAGAATATTGCTTAAAGAAAACACGTACGTAAACAGGTACGTAAAGCCCAGAACAATCAATGATTTCAAACGAAAGGATAGGCCCATATAAATATTTTACTCATAACTTTTTCATACAAGAAAAATTAACGCATCTGTCTTACAAACGTCATATCATAACCAGGACGACGTAATCAGGGTCGGATTTCGTAGTGTAATTAGCCTAATTGTATCATTATTTCATAGTTTGTAGTATATATAATATCGTAATAATACTAAGCGAAAATACCGTAATTTTACCTAAAGGTTGACATGTATTACTATTGGGTCATTTTACTTTTTAATATTAACTATACGATATCGAGAATTTTTGTATTGTACATGAGTACCGAGTTTTTTCGGCGCTTGATCGATGCACTTATGTTGAATCCTTGATACAACTATAATGAGGAGCTACCACGATAAAAACTCAATGCCACAGAAGCAATCGGTTTGAAAACAGAATTTTAAAATATTTTATGAATCAAATTTTCAGATTCAAATCAGCAGATATGGTTTCTTTAATATTCTTTTAATTTTACCAGTACCGTACCCGTATCATACGGGTACGGTACGGGTAAAATGAATAGAGTACACTACAAGTACAATATTCAAAATTTTACTTACACTAAGTTTTTTAGACAAAAATAAAACAGGAATAAAAATATAACCGTCAAAAAATCAAACGTATAGATAAAAAAAAGATGGGAAAAAGGTGACATAATTTTTTGAAAAATAGTATAATTTTATTTTCCATGTACAATATTTTTGAGGGTATGAATCCAACCCTGGTCTAATATTGGTAACGTAACTAAACTAACTGTAAAATAAAACTTTAAAAATGCGTTTATATAGTAATTTAATGGTAACAAAATTAATATAAGGTTATTAACCGATGATACGATATCCCATGTTCCTTTTTAATCTTTGTATCGTAATTTTTGCATCCTTTTACCACGCAACTAGACATATTCATGACAAGTAAATCAGTCCTGCGCGCGCACCACTGTCGACCGATTCGCGTTGGCCCTAAACTGTAATTTTAGTGCCAGCGCACTGGTCCGTTTTAGTTGTTCGGTCGGCCCGGTTCTTACGCTAGTAATATATAAGTCGATGAGAACAATGCATCGAACAGAAGATACTTAGATTGTTTGTGCAGTTTTCAGGGATACGCAAATGTATTATTTTTAATGTTACCAGTGTGATCGTTCGGTTGATATTACCTTTACATTGTCCTGATCCTTTAAGTATCGCTAAAATAAAGTTGTTGTACATATATCTCTTATGTTATAACAAAAAAAAAATAGCATGTGTTCATAATCCAAAAAATACTTTAGTATTAATATAAATTATAATCATAGTACATTTAAAAGAAAATTAATAAATTCAATGCTATGATTGTCATTATTAGAATAATACACTAATGATTTAGGTCAGTATTGCAAGTTCTGTGATTGATTAAAACTACTTTTACGGATTTTATCGCGTTTATTTTACTATTATTTTTAATTCCCGACGTTTTTGGCGCTTTCCAGCACCCATGTTCACGGGAGACTGAGAGGACTGACGTCCCGATGTCATTGTTAAACCCGGAGTACCTTCAGCTTTTTTAATTATTGTTTATGGTAAAAAAGCTGAAGGTATCGGATCGTATTCAGTCCCCGCACCCGAAACGTCGGGAATTAAAAATAATAGTAAAATAAACGCGATAAAATCCGTAAAAGTAGTTTTAATCAATGTGTAGTGTTCGCGTAAATATAAGAAATCAGTTCTGTGATTTACAAAGTATGATTCCATATGATGTAATATCGATGTTCTTTTAATTTTTTTATATTGCACATAATATTTCAAAATATTCTTCATTCATAAATTCATTATATTTTCATTTTTGTAGTTGACATGTATTTGGGATCTTCATTAAACTTGTCAAGAGTGGATCGCAAGCAAATGGGTGCGTACCTATGCATCGCTTCTAATGATGTTCCACCATCGGTGAGCAAGCGTATAATGCTTACTGTGAATTGTAAGTAATTTTGCCTTAGTATAAAAATTGTATGGAAATAACTGGAATTTTTCGAGATTTTCATTAAAATTTAGATTAATTAAATTTTGTATAATGTTATAGTTGGACCTACAGTTAAAATCAAATCTAAAGTTATTGGAATAACGACGGGCTCCAAAGCAAACCTGGAATGTGTTGTCGAAGCCAATCCTTCAGCAAATATATATTGGCTTAAACGTGGCGAAGAAGTGATTCTCTCTGGGTAAGCTAATACTGTATACTTTAACAACTTGATAAATATAAACAAGGCAACGGTTTATTTTTAAAAACACAAAAAGAAGGATTATTACATAAGCATGAAGCAGATAAAATAAAAATTAATATTCGTAATTGCTTTGGTTAATTCGTTAGAATCGAAACCTACACGAACATATAGTCGTTACTTTCATTATACCGCGGTTATCCATATGACGAAGTCTATACCGCAGAGAAACAAACTTGAGAGAGCAAACTTGAGCTTTCTCATACGGCCAGCAGTAGGAGTCTCAGATACATAATATGCCAGAACTGATAGTACCCATTGGTTTTATACCATTAGTAGGACAAATTTTTTAACCAAGAAAGATACTCTCAAACTGGGCGTCAATGTTAAATGTGAAGTGACATTATTTTCTTGATAGATTTAGTATTTACTAATCAATCTATAAAAAATACTAACACAAAAAATAATAATTTCACCAAAATAAACCTAACTTTGTGGCAACTTTTCCATCAGGGTTTTTAATGAAAATAATAGGATTTAACTTCAAGGATGATAACTCCATCCTTGAAGTTTACTACAAAATTTAATACACTACACTCAGGCTTATGATTTGCTCCTTTAATGTTGATGCAAATAATAAAGTTTTCGCCGATGGTAAAGTTGCTCGCCCATTATTCAATTTTTCATACAAACTTGAAAAAATGTGTCAGCGTTGTCAAAATGCTTGTACACATACTTAACTTATTTTTTTTAATTTAAATCTTGTTACAATAATTCCTTAGGCAAAATTTAAAATATAACAAATAAAACTACCCTCTTCAAAAATTTCAAATTAAATTGGTACAATAATAAGCTACAATCAGGTATAGTAAAAATCAAAAATAAAGCTTGTCATAATTATTTTAACATGTATTCGTTTTTGTATTAGTCATTATTATCATAATTTAATTATGATCTAGTAAACAATAATTGTAACCAACCTAAATATTGTTTTCTCACATAGGGAAAGCGTTCATAATCATTGAAAATGACACTGTTTTTTTGATGCAAATTAACATCAATAAACAGAGTTGAAACTATGCAAAATATTGAGTAGCAAGAATATTATACGATAACGCCGTAAAATGATATCAATTTCTTTTTTATTTTTCTTCACTTTTGATAAAGATGAGTCGATTGAATTGAACTCATTCGGTAAAAACAGGCTAACAGGGTGCGACGGTGAAACATCTAAACAAATATACATACATTGAATGTCAAGTAGAGTAGTGCCCTTTATTGCATCACCGTAATCGGGTAAAAATACAGGTCGAAAGTAAAAATCCTTGATTGTAGCAGCATATGGCAAAAGTATAATAACTTTTTCAAGTTAGCTTTATAGATAAATGTTAAGACCACCATGATAAAAACGAAATATAACATTTCCAGACCATTAATTTTACGTTATTACAGACATGTAGATATCTACATTCAGTATTTCAAACAAAATTAATAAAGGTTCTGGAACAATGAATATGGAGTTTACATCGTTAGTAGAATTCTGCGTTAAATAAAATGTCAAAATTAACTCATGTTACCGTATCGAAAACTATTCAGTCAATTAGTTACTAAATTTTCATGCATGTTTCAGGGATAAATATGATGTCTTTGAAGAGCGACTTTCTATTTATGAAGTAAAGGCAACGTTAATTGTAATAAAATTTTCGACAGAAGACGTGGGAACATATACTTGCTTTTCGTCTAACGCTTTTGGGAAAGCCGAGGGCACAATGAGACTTTACGGTAACAACAATTTTATAAACATATTTTTTGAAACAAAATAAGATTTTGTTTTATTTTCCATGATAATATTATTAGGATTATATATTGTAACAATCTTAATGCCAATGATTCCTGTCATTAACGTGAATATTTTTTTGCCTTGAAATCTAAGTAATCAAAAAATTACTAAAAATGTCGGGCTTCAATTCAAGGAATTCACCTGAAAATGTTGCCTCATACTTTAACTACTTAGATTGAAAGCACAAGAACAACAAAATAAAGAAAAACATTTTAAGGCTTAAAATATTTTATTTAGAACTTAATTTTTATTTTTTATTTTTTATATTGTATATTAAAACACGAAGAGCATCGAGTAAAAAAAAAAGATATGCCATAAAATTTCCAGTAAACAAGATTAAAACTGTAGAAACTCATTGGAGATTGGGTTAATTCCACGATTATCAAAAATGTAATATAGGGGCCTTTCCGAGAAAGTGTCTGAAGACATGAATTCCTCGAAAGTGTTGTTCATAGTCCTCACCATGCCCATATTTATTACTATAGCCACTATGCGTGCATTTTTACATCTCATCATCAGTCTTAAATTTGTCACTTTTTTCTGTAATTGGGTTTTCAGGGACTCGTTATTCTCTTTTTTACGATCAACGTAAATAATAATATTTTTTTAAATGAATGCAATATGTTAACGAACTTTTTATGCTGAATACAGAAATAAAAACGACTACAACAACAACGACGACGACAACGACTACCACTACTACTACTAAACCACCGACTACAACTGAAGTAGGTGCCAGAACAACGTATAGTACATCTACCACAGAATTAACTTCTAAGCCATGTAAGTCGATAATACCTATAAAAATTCATTGAATGTCTAAAAATAATAAAATCTATATAATATTAAAACTATAAACTATAAAGGAAAACTAAATCTAAAATTTTAAATTATCATATTCCTACTCCCCGTAGTATCATGCCAAGAATGCTGGCTGCGTTTCCTCGCTGACTGACTTGTGACAGCGAGCCTTTAAGCGAGAAAAGAACCCGCCTTATCACACCAACAGTGATGATTAGTCGCGGATACAGTTCCTTTAGGAACTTCGCCGCCTGTAGACTCCACGGACCAATAGTATCTACAGCAAATGGCACAAATATATGTAGTCATCTCTCAGAATAGATATGATGCAAATGCGCCACTTATCTAGTTTAGCTGACTCTGATTCCGCCCCGGCTCTCAACGATATGAGAGACTGCCAAAGTGTCTACATTCAGAGACAACAAATTATTTCATCTTAATCTTCAGGCGTGATAACGTATCTTGAAGCTCCTTTGCATAAAATTGTTTGCATCTGTCCATTGGTAACAGCAGCTATGTTTTACGTTTGGATTTTTGGCTTTTGGGTATCTTTAGTAAGAACTATAAGAGTACCTAGAATAAGTATGCTCACCTTTTTGTAGTAGTAAATAGATGAACATAAAAAAATTAAAAAGTAAAAAAGATTTTTTTAAGTATTCGTTGTATTTACTTTTCATAGATTGGGTGGTAGCAGTGCAACCAGCCGAACAGAAGTATTATACGCCAGAAGTGACATATGGTAAGTAATAATGAAATTTTAAAAATACTTTTATAAATAGGCCTTGTCATTAAAGGCTTATTTATTACACCATGCTAAAGAAATTATGTTTCTATAAACTTTTATTATTATTGTTACGAGCTTGAGGTTCGAGACAATAAAAATTGCCGATAGAATTACCTAAATTAACACTTTAATTTTCTTTACACAAATTAAAGTTTAAAACACCAATAATTAAGCACACTAATTCACTTTATTCCGCTCCAAAGCTTCGCTTGTCTTGCCAACTTCAATACTTCCCCGATCGCACCTTGCAGCGCCTATAAATGCACATTAGTACCGAATCATCCAGAACATTCAAGTAAATACGCGCACCAATCGAAAAAGCGCCGAAAGTTCGAGAGTCAGCTTCCAGAAGCTTAATTCTTAGTTTCGACAACAGATGGCGCTGTCGGTTGAAAGATTAGTGATGTCATTTTCTGTAAAGCTCTCCCTTCGCTCCGTTACCCGACACTAGATGGCGCTATTGCCAGATGTCAACTTAGCCGCGCAACATTATCGAGTACTGAGTAGCATGCCCTTGTATAAATTTCAATAGCAGTCTACAAGATTCACATTGGTCAGTAACGTGTCAATCAACACTTGATTATTCGCAATATATAATAATATACGTATAATGTTCTTCACGTATAAATAAATAATAATATACGTATATATGTACCAAGTGTAATATCTCTACCTCATAACACGAAAAGGCCCCCCGTGGTATAATAAAACATTGATTAATATCTTAAAAGAAAAAGCTAAGGCTCACAGAAATTGGAAAAAAGTTTCATAACTTAGCGGATTACAATATGTTCTCTTTATTACGTAAGCGTGCGTCAGTTTATAATAAACAATGTTATAATAATTATTTGGATACTACTCAACAAGCCATACTGAATAACCCTAAATGTTTCTGGACTTTTTATCAAATCAAAACGTGGTAATACTTATTCTTATCAAAATAAAATGTCGTATAAAAATACAACGCATAGCGAAGGCCCAGCAATTGTAGAAGTCTTCAGTTCATTTTTCAAAAGTGTTTTTATCCTGCCTGCTCCTTCATATCCTATGTTGCATTACCTATACCTTCTAGTAGCAACGACCGACATTTACATTGCTTTCGGGTTTCCAAGGCAGATGTTTTCAAAGCGCTACAGAAAGTAGATGTAAAAAAGGGACCGGGTAGTGACAAAATCCCACCTATATTTATATTCAAATGTGCTAAGTCATTGTCTGAGCCTCTTCACATTTTATTCAATAGATCTCTTCAGGAAGGTTATTTCCCATACATCTGGAAAGAAGCTCATGTAGTACCCATATTTAAAAAAAGGAACCCGTATTAAAGTTGAAAATTATAGACCTATATCTATACTTAATATATTCGCGAAAATATTCGAAAAATTAGTATTTAATTACATTTACCCGACCTTAAGTCGAGGTTTACCAGAATCTCAGCATGGTTTCCTCAAAGGCAGATCAACTATTAGTAACCTAACACATTTTATCACAGAGATTATCAATCATATGGATGGCGGGGGGCAGGTTGACGTGATCTACACGGATTTCAAAAAAGCCTTCGACCGCGTGGATCACGTCATCTTGCTTCGTAAGTTAAAAATACTAGGAATACACGGGGACCTTTTGCGATGGATTGAGTCTTACCTAAAAAATCGTTCCCAAGCAGTAGTTGTAGGAGGACACTGATCAAATTTTATAAAAATTACATCTGGTGCGCCACAAGGGTCTCACTTAGGGCCCCTCCTGTATAACACCTATCTATATGATATATATACATGCTTTAAACACTCCTCATTCTTGCTGTATGTAGATGACAAAAAAATATTTATTAAGATTAACAATTTAAATGAATGCCATAAGCTTCAAGAAGATTTAAACAGGTTGGACCATTATTACAAATATAATCGAATCACAGTTAATGTCAAGAAATGTCAAACTTGCACATTTACATGCAAAACTAAACCGGTTGAACATGCATACAAATTGAACGGATCAATAATTCAAAAAACAGAGGTAATCCGAGATCTTGGTATCTTATTGGATTCCAAGCTTACATTTAGTAATCATATTGACTACATCACAAATAAAGCATATAGAAACTTAGGCTTCTTAATACGTACATGCCAACCTTTCAATAACTTACCCTGTATTAAAGTATTATATTATGCCTACGTTCGCAGTATATTGAGTATGGTAGCAACGTATGGTGTCCACAATACTATACGTATATTAACAAAATAGAAGTATTGCAAAAAAAATTTTTGAAGTTTATGGACTATAAAATTAAAGAACAACATCAAACATACAAAGAAAGATGTATATTCTATAAATTACTTTCATTAGCAGATAGAAGAAAATTGCTTGATCAAATGACATTATATGATCTCATTCACGGCCGCCTAGATAATTCGCATTTACTTGGACTTATCAATTTCTCCACACCCATATATCGTACTAGACACACTAAATTATTTTTCATCTCTCACTCTCATACGAAATATACCAAAAACTCACCAATAAACCGGATGTGTTGCACCTATAATAATTTTTTTTGACAATATTGATATTTTTACGAAAAAGAGAGAAAACTATAAAACTGAAGTATGCAAAAATCTCTTCAATAGTTATTTATGATTAAGGTATTAACTCAGATCAAATATATGAGCACAGACACACACACACACACACACACACACACACACACACACACACACACGCACACACACACACACACACACACACACACACACAGACACACACACACACACACACACACACACACACACACACACACACACGCGCGCGCGCGCGCGCGGCACGCACGCACCCACGCACGCACGCACGCACACACACACATTATGTTGTTGTATATACAATGTTTATAGTAGTACCGCTGATTATTCTATATCCCGATAAGGAATCGTCGCTCATTCTTCTAAATTATGTTTAGGTAATATAGGGAAAACTGTAATAAGGCTTATGTTAAGATAATCCGATCTGTTGTAAATTTTAATAGTTTAAAGCTGTTGGTTTTTCTAAATAAATAAGTATAACGTTCCTCACTCATGCCATTGGTTACTTACTTATCCCTATTAATAATTTCTTTTTAAGAATCGACCACTAAAAAACAAAAAAAGATACTTTGATTGTTCCAATTTTAAAATAATATACCGTGATTTCGGGAAATTGCCAACAAAAGTTATGTTCGATAATGCGTCATAACTTTGCAACTGGGCAGTTCCGTCAATTCGGCATTGTGTCGTGGGAGACAGGCCTTATACGTACTAGCTATTGATATTACGTGATATTGACAAAGTTTTATTAAAATTAATATAATATACAAAATTATACATGATTAACTTTTTTGTATTAATGTAAATAGTGGTAGACAGTTTTAAAAATGGAGACAGTTTTTAAATATATATTGTATGCAATAAATAAAATGTTAAAAATATATTTGAATAAGTTTATGAGAATATCGTCTAAAATAGCTATTTATATATTGCAGGATAAATATATCTTATTTTATCTTTCTTTTAAGGTACTGTGCAGAATGTTATCGACCAATCTTTTCTTGACACCAATTGGCTGCCGACTGCTGAATCAACTAATTCCAAAGGTTTCCATGTTAAACCTTTTCCAATTCTTACTGTACTCGTAATTAGTTTTCTACCTCTAATTTTATGTAATATTAGACAAAGATTTATCTTTTTTGGCTTAATTTTATTGAACGAAGTTGTATTTGCCATAATTTTACATGAAGCTAGTTGACTATTTAAACAAACATAAACAACATCATATTTGTCAATTTATTTAATATTGGGATCTCAAGTCAAAACTAATTCCAAACACATTTAAAAATTATTAAATGGATTATTCAAAATGTTGCTATTAGTGTCGTTATGTTATGGAATAGTATTCTTTACATCAATCAAATATATTACTTACCCATCATTTGACGCGATAACTCAATAAAGCGATAACTCAACAAATTTTTGAAATTGTTCAAAATCAGGAGACATGAAATACTTGTAAAATTGCCAGATTATTGGTTTCAATTCTCTCATAGATCATCAAAATGTAAGAGCCTTTTCAAATCATTTTTGTAGCTAAGCCTTTAACTTTAAATTTAAAAAAAATTGTAGCGTGTTGTATATTATGCGTAAATTGATTACGCTGATTATGTACCAAATGGGAATTCATTATTAAAATATTATTAAAAAAAACTTAATTTCAATGAAAGACATATTTTTTTGATGGGAGTGTGGAATAATATGTGATAGAAAAGCGTAGTTGTATAAAATTGAATGTTCCGTAAAATATCATTAGTATTATTAAGTATACTTTACTAAAACAGACTGATTATAGGAAACTGGATTCTGCAGTTAATAGGAAGTTAAAATGTCCAATATGATATACATATAAACTTAAGACAGTGTACATTATATTAAAACATAAGAATAAACGTTATTGAACATAAGATCATTACTATACGTATTCTAATTATATTATGTACTAAACGCGTAGTATGATGTTCATAACTAGTTGTATACAAATTTGTTATGTTACTAAAGCATATCAATATCCATATTGTATACCGATATAGCATGTAAATAGGAGGAATTGTTCGTCTAGCATATCAAAAGAGCTTGTAAATCTCTTAAACTCCAATTACTCATAACTTTATTAATTTCGTTATGCCAAAAAAGGGAGCTGAGATAAATAAAACTAGATTTTAAATTTTTCTAAAATATTGCATAATAATAGAGCTTTTTTTTAAATAAACCAACAATGCGTGTATTAACACTGTTTGTAATGAAATTGGACGGCTGATATCAAATTTCGCGAGGAAGCTTGCGCTGCTTCTGTCGTGAATGACACTGCAATTTATGGGTTTTATCTCGTTTTCTTTCAACTATTTTTAATATTATAATAATTCTTAAGAATTATAAAGTTAAATTGAAAGCACTTGAATCCATAACGTTCTTTTTATTTCATATAGTATTCGTTACAGATAAGAAACTATCATCTGGCCTAGTCCATTATTTATGCTAAAAGTTATGACATTAGAAAATTATAGTCTGGCTTGTTCTATCACTCCAGTTTCTAAATTTGGGCAACAAGCAGATGGTTATTGACATAACATCTATTACTTTACTTCAGTAGATTTTGAATAATAATTTATGAACAAGTTTACCGTTCAGTGATTGTTAAGTGATTCAATTATAATATTTATGCAAAAGAAGTTTGATTTAAATTGTAGCAAATTGTGAAACTAATTTAGATGCTAGTATACCCAAATCCGTCCATCTATTCAAATTAATTGAAATATAATCAATTTGTACATCAATGATAAACAAAAATTATGAAATGATCACTTTACTTAAAAATAAAAACACATTTTAAATCTTAACTAGTAGTTTAGCTCAAGATTTAAATTTAGTGTCTAACTAAAAATCTCAATAATACCTTTCTTGTATATTTATAATTTCAATATTTAATTGAATTGAATTTAAATTAAATAAAAAAGATTCGTGACATACATTTGAAATTAAGTCAACGTGTTAGTTGCCCAGATAAGTCGCAGAATGGATAATATTTTTGTATTTGCTGATTTTTTAATAATATGTTACGAGTATATAACAAGTTTTGATTAGTGCTTGTGTAGACTTGAAGCCAACGTTTAAATTATATAATGAAAGAATAAGCCTTTATAGGTTTTACGTACAATAATCAAAACCGTGAAATGAAATATCAATATACAATGAAACTGTACAGAAATTATTACCTGTATGTCTAATTGGACTCTTCACGTATTGGTAGCCGAAATATGCTTTATGTATTTATGTATTTGCTTTTGTCTCAGCAAAAGCACCTGATTTTTTATTTGTATTAAGTTGTTGATTATTATTTATACAATAATAAGAGAGTAGCATATGTACAAACCATAGTAAATAGTTTTAGAGTTGTTATCGAATTTACACAGTTAACGCCATCACAGTTTCTAGTTGTTAAAATGTGTAAATGAAACAAAAGTATTGTAAATTTGTATTTGGTTGTTATAGGTGTTATTTAATTCTAAGAAAAAGTTATGTCAATATATGTAATAAGCATTTCATGATTGTACATCTTAATCGTCATTAGATAATAATATGTTAATGTTTAGGGGACTGGATGTCTTAAACAATAATTATAAAATTAAAATAAAGAGTTTACAATAACTTGTAATTTCTTATACTTTTAAATGCTTTATTATATCATAACATAGTGACCAGCATAATAGAAACTGGCTACGAGTATAAAGTAAAGTTAAGCCTATATAGTCTGCTGGCTCAGGCTCCCCTCATTTCTGAGAAGGGTTAGGGGTCATGAAATATTTTTTATCTTATTCTCAGACATGCAGACGATGTTTTTATGGTAATCAGCACTTAAAATTGCAACTAAAATATGGTAACCACGGAGTGTATTATAAAATATCAATGAGTAATAACAGCAATGCAAAATAATGCGTACGGGCATGAGTTGTCAGTATTACGAGTAATAAACTATGGAGCCGATGATAGTCCTGGACATTGACGGCAACAGAAGTTTAATTTAATTTGAACTTATAATAGCATAAAAAACAATCTAAAAAGTCGCAAAGTGAAGGGGCAATTACCCGTTATTTTTTAATAGAACTAATAAATGGTGAGTAAGAGTTTTTTTTTAAATAAGTCGTATATTGTCCTTTGCTTATGGGAGCGATGTAAGATTAATGGGTTCTCTGTTACCCCTTTCCTTCCAGTAGTTGTCGTAAAAAACGACTATGTAAAAACCATCTTAACCCATGAATGACCAGATACGTACGTATACGCCAGATGTGAAATACATGTGTATAATGGCAACGGAGACCGGCGTCATAGAAGCTATTACTCCGCCTGTCAAGAACTGCGATTACAATATTATGTTATTTACAAAGGAACCTATTCATGGTCAGCAGTGGACTGTTACGGCCTGATAAAAAAGTAGAATACTGAAGGGGATGTAGGGAGAGTAGGGGGAGAACCAAGTAGAATAATCGAAAAACTAAGAAGGTGTCGGAAACAAATGTTTAGAGGCACTACATACTACATACTATTTGTTCGGATGATATTTAAGTCGACTAGACGTTGCTTGTCCGTACACTGGGTCAACTAAAAAGTTTGGTTAGGGGTGAATACACAAACTGGACCAAAGTCAGCCAAGGGTCAATTTTACACTTATCTTATTTTGTAAGCCGTGTTAGCTCAGATGGTTAACGCTCGTTATAAATATAACAGAAGGCGAGTAACCCGGGTTCGATCCCCGCCGACACCAATGAAATTGTTAATTGCAATTTTAAGTGCTGATATACCACGTGATCGGCGGTGAAGGAAAACATCGTGAGGAAACCTGCATGTCTGAGGAATAAGACAAAAAATATTTCGAAGACATGTGAAGTTCGCCAACACGCATTGGGGCAGCGCGGCGGTCACTTCCTTGCCCTAAAACCCTCACAGAAATGAGGGGAGGCCTGTGCCCAGCTGTGGGACGTATATAGGCTGTAACTTTACTTTACTTTACTTTTTATTTTGTTTTATCCTCGACACTAAGCTGATTTCAATTACTAACACTTGTTTCACAGACTTCGTACCTAAAAATTTTCTTCTTATATTCATCTGATTACATTTATAAGATTGTTTTAAAAGAACGCGGGATTTTTAATTTCCTTTATTAAATTTAAAATAGATTTTTCGAAGAATAAAGTCATTATGAATCATATGCACAACAAACTTAAAGCAAATTGAAGTTATTTTCCAAATCAACTAATTAACAATTCTTAAGTGTGCGCACGTTAAAGAAAAGCTTACTAATCTAGCGGTCAGCTGAAAGTTCGGCGACAGTTTGATTTGAAGGTAAACGGTTAATCAATCAAACTTACTAGTATTAATCAGACAATACCGAATCATTATAATTAGCGCAATTTTAAATTTCTTCATAATAATTAAGAACCCGACTATCGCCCTATTAAATGTCTGTAGTTTGCCGAGGCTCTTAGAATTAGACTGGTAATACATTTATCTCAAGGGGTAGATAGGTGAGGAATATGTGATTAAAATAATAAGCTAAGATTAACAACCAAACTCAAGGGTGAGTAACTATCCAAGGGCAAATCTTATCTGACACTCCCGATGATATTCTGGATGTCAGTTTGAGCGTGATTAGAATGGCTCTCCAGCACCTTAAACAACAACGCTCTCTTGAAAAACTACAGACCGATCTACCCCCTGAGCCGCGTCTACGTGTTGTTTTGAGAGTTATTACGAATATTATCAAAGGCTTTAGTACCATATACACATACATACCCTTCTGTAAATTTTACAAAAGACCGAGGAGTACAATTTACCACTATAATATCTTGCGCATGTGAACTATGAGAAAGCCCTTGATTTCATCGAAATTTGGGCGGTACTACAGTTCCTTCAGCGTCAAGTTGATATCCGGTATACCAAAGTGCTGAAGTTTTTATACAGTATGGCTACAATGGCTATCCGAGTATAGATAGTACGTAACCAATCAAACTGCAGAGATGTGTAAGACGATATATCACCGGAACTTTTCGCCGCTGCATTAGAAGAAGTTTTAAAGCTACTGGACTGAAAAGAATACGGTATTAACATCAATGGCAAGTAAGCAATAACTCATCCTCGATTTTCCGATTATATATTTCTTATGTCAGAATTGCTGAAAGACCTACGCACTGCGCTCAATGACCTCAATAGTGTCTCCCAACGGATAGGTCGTAATATGTACATGGACAAAACTAAGATCATGTGTAACGTCCATATCACACCTATGGCGGTAGTTGTTGGGAGCACAAAGCTCTAAGTTGTTAATGAGTATGTTTGCTTAGATCAAATAGTCTGACCAAATAAGTCCAACTTCGACCGAGAGGTCAATCGACGGATTCAAAATATAAGTAGTAGTTAATACATTTTAATCTCTTTGGATATATCTCAGAATTTGAAAACGAGATTGTAAAAAAGTGTCGTGTTCGTTCACTGATGGCCGTATGAGGAAGCTCAACGTTGCTCAGCTCAGTTATGGAGAGGGCTATGCTCGGGGTTTCTCTGCGTGATAAACTTAAAAATGTGGATATCCCCAGTAGACTAACTAACATAGTCCTATGGAATTATAAGCTGTAGTGGCAATTTGCCGGTTTATAGCTCGAAGAACTGACAACCGATGGGGGATAAAGATGAGTGGCAGCCTCATACCGGTTGGTGAATTCCGTCCCCCTCAAGGTGACCCCCCATCAGATGAAATGACGACCTGGTAAGATATGCAGGAAGTTGATGGATGCTCTGGACCGTGATTTGAGGCATTCCTTGGGGGAGGTGTATGTTCAACAGTGGA